CAATATAGATCTTGATAATCGATTAGATCGTCTTGACTGGGCGCCGCCATTTTGTTTGAAGCAAATGCAAGAGGTTGAATCTGATTGGTCCACAGAAGAGGCATAGAAGGGACATAACTCGTAATAGCCACTTGTGGCGCTACGGATGAGCCCAGGAATTTCAGCCTAGTTCGGCAAGGGTGGAAACTGGACTTTTATAGTCAGTTAACTCCCTTGCCTCCGGAAGATGGTCTTCTGACCACTGATCATAACATTTATATTATATATCTTTTAGAGTATAACTTAAGCTACGGCACCGTAGTTCACCTGTATATGCAACCAATGCAACAGTTTTAAAACGTTGGGATTTAAAAATGGTCTGAAGTCAGTAAAAGCAAAACGCCATTGAAATCAGTAACGCATGACAAACAAACAGGCCACTTGTTTACATGTGCGTGTGTGTCAAAGTGAGTGAGTGAGTAGGGTTTTAGCAATATTCCAGCAATATCACGGCGGGGGACACCAGAAATGGGCTTCACACATTGTACCCATGTCGGGAATCGAACCCGGGTCTTCGGTGTGACGATCGAACGCTTTAACCACTAGGCTACCCGACCGCCCCGCGTGTGTGTCAGAAGGGAGGAGGAACCTGTTGCGTGTCTTTCTGGGTCAGTATGTGATGTTACCATTGGTAGAATGCACACATTTAAAAAAAAGAAACAATTTGGAGCAACCCATTCTGTCCCAGCCAGCTGTCACCCAAAGCCTGGCTGGCCTACATGAAAACATGGTAGTTGTTCCAACTCACAAGGCCTCAAGTAATGTTAGATCAAAGAACTTGTTGCAGGTGACATATCAAATAATGCCACATATAAGACCAGTATGGTAACTGAGGAAGAAATCTGCCCAAACTATGCATCAGTACCATAACTTTTAAATTTGGTCAAACTCTAAAACCTGAAGACATGTCCATTCCTCTTTTGTACGGGATTTAAAACATCGATCCACGCAATTTGGATACCGTGACGTACATCAACCAAGTCAGCGAGCCTGACCACCCGATCTCGTTCGCCGCCACTTACGACAAGCATAGTCGTCCTTTACGGTACCCGTCTAAAAGGAGTATGCAAGTGTACCCGTCTAAAAGGAGTATGCAAGTGTACCCGTCTAAAAGGAGTATGCAAGTGTACCCGTCTAAAAGGAGTATGCAAGTGTACCCGTCTAAAAGGAGTATGCAAGTGTACCCGTCTAAAAGGAGTATGCAAGTGTACCCGTCTAAAAGGAGTATGCAAGTGTACCCGTCTAAAAGGAGTATGCAAGTGTACCCGTCTAAAAGGAGTATGCAAGTATAGTCTTGAGCGACCTCAAGGTATTTTTTCCTGTAGTTCGACCTCATGTAATCATCAAGAACTATAATGTCAAACACTCCAAAATTGCATCATATTGACAATTACTGTCAGTATGATAGTCGAAGAAGTGTTCACTGTGGTGTGATCAAAACCTGATACTTATCATCTTTAAGTTTTGAACAACGAAGGTCAAGGTAACCGGAATGGTTATTATCAACCTGATGAACCATTACCTCTTTAAGAGTTGGTTAGAATTTGACCACTAGGGAAGATTTTACTCTCTACTTCGCAAAGATTATTGAAAGTTGAGATCATTCTTCAATGGCCCTGGGACATTCTTTTGGCATATGCCGCATATTATTGCCATCACTTTTGTACATTTCTGATACAGTCCTAATGCAGACAGACAGACAGACAGACAGTTTATTCAGTATGCAAGGCCATATGGCCCATAGTATAGTTCAGTTTTAACAGATACATAAAAATCAACGTGATCTTGAACATAGCATAATATATTCACCTGAGTCTAAATACATGTTTCAAATACATTGCTAAAGATTTGATAACTTCTTCATTGGTGGAATTCAACAAATTGATCATTAATTAATTGTATTTGTGTGTAATATCTAACACGCAGCTATGTACATATATATACTACAGCGACCAGTTTCACCAAGTACTGCCTTTTTGGACGCATATTTACCAATGCATAAAAACTGATTAAAATAAAAAGTGGTAACTTTCTCAATGGATTCAAAATATTTACTGCCCCATATTTCTGAGCCGTACAACAATATGGGTAGAATTTTACCCATATATATATATATATATATGGAGCCCATATATACTATCAAATATCGAATATGCTGAGGAAAATGTCATATACTTGTTTTCCTTGAATAATTTATAAACAGGAAACATTGCCTTAGATGCCTGAAGCGCTAAGGTCTTACAAACTTTGTACCAATCTGATCCTGAGGACATTAATAGTCCTAAATACTTATAATAACTTGCAAGTTTTAAATGTTTATCACCATATATCCTATTTTCAAGCTTCGTTGCTATTCCACCATTTCTAAAAACAATAACATTGGTTTTCTCAAGTTTTACTTCTAAACCCCACTTAATACAAAAGGACTGCAATACATTAAGCTGTTTCTGCAAGCCTACCACACAGTAGGACACCAGAGCAACATCATCCGCGAACAGCAATAACATAATACCTATAATATCTTGTGTCACAAACACACATTCTTTGTAAATTTCAGAAACAAGTTCTTTTTTTAAAAAGATGAGTAAGACTGGGCTTAAGATGCAACCTTGACGAACACCACTGGAAGTAGTAAAACAAGGAGTTGTACAAGAGTCAGTTTTACTACATGCTTTGACTGAGGAATACATATTCTTATGAACTATTGACAGCTTTCAACGACATCCTTTAGTGATTTTTTTTCTATCAACGTAAGTAAAAATCTATGCGGAAATCAACAAAAGCACAACAAAAACGACCCCTAGGAACAAAGTGACTGGAAAACAAAGGTGTTGTCAACTGTAGAATATCCAGAGCGAAACCCTGCTTGAGCTTCAGATATCATTTACTTCAAGCCAAATTCTACGTCGTTTTTCAACAATAAATGCAAATAGTTTTCCCATGACATTCAAAACAGATATACCTCTGTAATTGATTGGTTGACTGACATGCAGTCCTAATGCATCCTTGCTGAAGGATCTAAAACAGTTGTTATACTTATTTATAAGGTCTGGTTCCAGGACGTCTCAGATTTACTGATTACCTGTGAAGTGTTGTGTTGAGACCTGGGCTCACTTGCACAAAACGATCTTAGCGCTAAGACTATTGTAAGCCTATGTTAAAGTATGGGGGTTAAGATCATCTTAGCGCTAAGATCGCTTTCTGCAAGTGGACCCAGGTTCAACTTTCACCGATTCTCCTCCATAAGTGACAGTTGGCCTGATGCATTATAAGCTGTAGCCCTGTGTCTCCAAACCTTAGACGTCCGACCGGGACATTGAGCAGGAACCTGCGTTCGTCCGACAAATGGAGTTTCCGCCAGGTTCTCAGATTCCATGCCTGTCCAATACCAAACGTAGCATCTGATGGTGATCAGTGAGTAGGGCATTTGGTGATTCTCTTGGACGTCATTCCTGCTGCTCTCAAGTGGTTCCTCAAGACAGACGTTGACCAGGTAGCCATTGTCGCTTCAGGACGGGACTCACTACAATGGCGGCCGTCCTGACCGTAGACGGTCTGTCACGGCTGTGTGTTTGACAAGTTGTCCTAACTAATTACCCGATTGCTGTGCAATGATTGCACAGTTATTCTTTGCCCTCTTTGCGCATTTCATATCGTCCTTCCTGCCATGTTCACAGGGATTGATTAAACATTGCAAGACAGCGGATTTAAAGTCCCAAATTTAATGCCTGAACATAAATATGTGTTTGTTTGTTCCTTAACGTCGCACTCAGCAATATTCCAACTGTATAACGGCGGTCTGTAAGTAATCTGGACCAGAAAATCCAGTGATTAACATCATGAGCATCGATTTACGCAATTGGGATACGATGACCTGAATCGACCAAGTCAGCGATTCTGAAAATCCTATCCCGTTAGTCGCCTCTTACGACAAACATGCCTCAACATACTGCATTTTAGAGAACGCAAGGGTGGCGTGCTAAACGTGCATGCCAAGCGAGTTCTCACGACACTGTCAAACATGAACGGTCACATGATTACGATGGAATACCATTCATAATCATCATTGCCATTATCTTGACATGTATCAACCAAGTCAACAAGCTTGACCACCAGATCCCGTTAATCGCCTCTTACGATATTCACATTCGCCTAACATGGGTTGCTGAAGACCTATTCTACCCGGATCTACACAGGTACGAGAGTTTGGGGGTATTCGATGCCTGAGAATTTGGAACCGACGGAAATACTCAACCAAACCCGCAATTCTAAAAAAACAGTAATTGTCTTTATTGAGTGAGTTTGGTTTAACGACGCTTTTAACGTTATTCCAGTTATATCACGGCGTGTCAGCTTAATGTGGGAGGAAAGCCCGAAGTGATGCAGGTCTAAGACGTTTACCACATCGGTGAAACCCACGAGCACGGGTATGGTGCTGACAAACCTAGAAACATAATCGGGGCGAACCGGGATTCGAACCCACAATCATAGGTTTCTGGCGTGCCCAAGGGACGCAACTCTGCACAGCGAATCGCTGCGCCTTAGACGACTGGGCCACCCGTGCCCCCAATTGTCTTTATTTAGTAGCAAAGATATGAGTAATATCCCATTGGACACTCTCACTGAGACACGACGTCCATCTTGGAGGATATTAATCATGTTGTCCTGAGACAACTGGGCTCAGTCCGCCAGTAATTTACACATTCGTCTTCAAATTTGCAATTGCAAAAAAACATAGATACTAAGACGTAGCGCTAAACAGTCCGTCACATGTCCGGGAGTAACCTCATTTGATGACGTTTTCTAACCAATAAGATTGCAGCACACTCATTTTGCAAGGATACTGTTATCCCAACGAAGGAAAACTTAGTCTGAAGGAGTTAATCTCTTTACATCGCAGTTAAATGTCTCGGGGCAACTGAATAGATAATTTTCCTTCAACTATATAAAGGTTCGTTACATTTATGTTTTCTGTTTATTCCTAGAGCTTCCAGGGGAGACACTGAGACATACTAAGGTAAGTAATCAGTGTTGGATATAAAGATGAACTATTATTCCAGCTGTGTGAAGGGGTGGTCGGGTAGCCTAGTGGTTAAAGCGTTCGCTCGTCACGCCGAAGACCCGGGTTCGATTCCCGATATCGGTACAATGTGTGAAGCCCATTTCTGGTTTCCCCTGCCGTGATATTGCTGGAATATTTCTAAAAGCGGCGTAAAACCATACTCACTCACTCACTCCTGCTGTGTGTCGCCGGTAACGCAATGATCCACGCCATCACTATGGCACACCGTCACTCATGCTTGCCGTTAGAGGCGATTAACAGGATCGGGTTGTCAGGCTAGATGATTTTGGCCAGATCGATCTTCATGATATCCATCACTGCATTGTCCGATCCAGATTCGACTATTTACAGACCGTCGTCAAATAGCTGAAATGTTTCTGAAAGTGGCGTTAAACATCAAACAATAAAAAAATAAAAACAACACTTGTACGTAGTGAATGAGTGAGTTGGGTTTTACGCCGCTATGAGCGGTATTTAAGTTATGTCACGGCGTGTCAGCTTAATGTGAGGAAAGCCCGAAGTAATGCAGGTCTCAGACCACTTCGGTGAAACCCACGAGCACGGCTATGGTGCTGACAAACTAATCGTGACGAACCGGGATTCGAACCCACGATCACATGTTTTGTTGTCCCGAAGGGACGCAACTCTGTACAACGGGTCGCAGCGCTTTAGACAGCTGGGCCACCCGTGCTCCCACTTTGTACTTAATTCTAAAATATATAACATGTGTTACATTTGATCAAGATCCGGGGTAGAATAGATCTTCAGCAACCCATGCTTGCCATAAAAGGCGACTATGCTTGTAAAAGGCGACTAATGGGATCGGGTGGTCAGGCTCGCTGACTTTGTTGATGCACGTCATCGATCCCAATTGCGTGGATCGATGCTCATCATATTAATCACTGGATTGTCTGGTCCAGATTCGATTATTTACCGCCGTCATATTGGAATATTGCTGAGTGCGGCGTTAAACAACAAACCAACCAACCAACCTACTTTCCAAAGAAAAGTACACTTGTCAGAGGGGTACACAAAATACGTGATCTGGTCTACCAGACTTTCCTTTTTGTAGAAGCCTCGGTGGCTGAGTGGGTTAGATCGCTGACTTTGCTGGCGATTTGGTGCCTCACCCTGAGAACTGTTGGGTTGGATTCAAATTTTCGGTTTGACTGGCACAGCAGCCATGTTGAAAATATATTTTTCATTGTTTTGAAATTTGTTTGGCCGTGCTCTTTCATTCTTTCAAAGTTATATTGTCATAATTGTTTCAAATCATTAAACATTTGTTTGTTTTTAGTCGTCAGTAAATATTTGAATATCAATGCAAACTGTTCAATATTTTTCCACGTGAGCTACGGTACTGTGACCAGTTTTATCCGCATCGTGTCAGTTTTTTTCCGATATTTTTAATTTAAAACACCCCGAGACTTTTAACCTTCATGCATGTCTCCATCAACTGACTGTCACTGCACTCTCCTTTACTTTATGCGAGTCTTTCCACACTCCCAGCAGCGCCGCGCATCTTGTATTTGATATCTGGGATGGTCTATCGATCAAAACAAATGATGCCCCCCCCCCCCCCCCCCCCCCCCCCCACACACACACACACTTTTTTCTAACCACTTTTACACCAAACTCGGCCCAAATGGCCGACACCAGACCAGCACAAAATGGAGGCGTGTCGATAAGTCGATCTCGGGATCGGGTGGTCAGACTCGCTGACTTGGTTGATACATGTCATCGATCCAAATTGCGTAGATCGATGCTCATGATGTCAATCACTGGATTGTCCGGTCCAGACTCGATTATTTACAGACCGCCGTCATATAGCTGGAATATTGTTGACTGCGGCGTACAAACAACCAAACAAACGATAAGTCGATCTATGATTGGTTTGTTTACGTGTTTGTGCATGACTTGCAATTTTACCCCAGAAGTGTCTGACCTTGACATAAAATAATACATTTTTGACACTCCTGATGTTAATCGGTCCAGAAATATTCAAGCAATCACGCATGGGTCTGTGTGTCAGTGCCCCTGGTCATGGTAGTGTTTACCACGACCCGCGTTTGGGGATATGCATCCAATCAGAATGCCGTACTGGTTTCGTGTGCAAAATGGTAATTTCACTGTGACGTCCTTCGCTCACACTGTGACGTCATCCGGTCACGTGTTACGTTAGGCTTCGAGCCTGTGGCTTGCCACATTTTTGTTCATTATCTGTCATACGCCCATGCGTAAGTAAGGCAGCAAATGTGGGTGCGAGTTTGGGTTGGTAGGCATAGGGAGGTTATTCTAAAATCCTAACCATCGTGTTATTTGTTCACAGGTATTTATATTCAAGGTCATACATAGAATTTATTAGACCGCCTCCATGGTCTAGTGGTAGAGCGTCCGCCCGAAGAGCCGCGTCATACCAAAAGAAGTTAAAAAATGGTACTTGTTGTTACCCTGTCTGGCGCTCGGCATTAAGGGGCTAAAACAAGGACTGGTCGGCTCGGGGTCAGTATACTGTGTCTGAGTGGGGTATTCATGTTAAACTGCGGCATGGTATCTCAGTGTGCTAGCACTATAAATCGGCAACAACAACAAAAAGAGAAAAGAAACAAACATACAATAAACGCAAAATGTTTCATTCAAATATCTAGCAAGTAATATATGGTTGTTTCTCTTCAGAAGTCATGAAGTTCGTCGTGGCTCTTATCCTCCTGATGCCGACCCTCACAGATGGGGGTGAGTTGGCTCATTCTATCTACCTAATTAGCATACTCCATGGGGATTCCGAGTTAGAATTACGCCCCAGGAACCTATGCCAATCGTAGGAGGCAACGTCTGGACTCGCCGACCAGGAGTGGAGTGGGCACGGGTGTCCCAGTCGTCTAAGGCGCCGCGATTCGCTGTGCAGAGTTGCGTCCCTTCGGACGCGCCAGAAACCTATAATTGTGGGTTTGAATCCCGGTTTCTAGGTTTGTCAGCACCATACCCGTGCTCGTGGGTTTTACCGAAGTGGTAAACGTCTGAGACCTGCATCACTTCGGGCTTTCCTCCCACTTTAAGCTGCCAAGCCGCGATATAACTGGAATACTGTTAAAAGCGGCGTTAAACCCAACTCACTCACTCACTCATTACAAGTGGACAAAGGTTTACGCCCATTGTAAAAAAGCATCCAGCCTTGTTGTTCTAAAATGGCCCTTATCATTCCATAAACCAGAGCTTGTCTTGTGAGTGAATGTGAGTGAATGTGAGTGAATGTGAGTTGTAGCCATACGACGTGGAGGACATTGGTGGCCTTGTGAGCTTATGACGTCGCAAATCGCCGCCAGGGTCGCGTCAAGCGCGTTGGCGGTAAACCCCGAATCGTCTCCGTGACGTTCACTGGTTTGTTGCCGTCCCTGTGCAAACGCTTCCAAACGCTTCCACACAACCCATGCTTGTCGAAAGAGGCGACCATATGGGTAGTGTGGTCAGACTCGGTGACTTAGTTAATTGCTGGTCCTTGTATCCCCTGACGTAGAGCGTGGCCAACAATACCAATCACTGATTTGTCTGGTACAGACTCTGGCATTTACAGTCTGCAGCCAAATACATAACGATTTGTACGCGTGGTACTAAGCAGCAAAATGCTGTGTCCCCCGCGGAGATATTGCTAGAAAATTGCTAAAAGCGGCGTAAAACATTACTCACTCACTCAGTCAAGCAACAAACACTCACTCGTTCACACACACCCAGCAGCAGACCCGTGAAGATCCGGGGTAGAATAGGTCTTCAGCAACCTTTGCTTGCATTTAAACGCGACTATGCTTGTCGTAAAAGGCGACTAACGGGATCGGGTGGTCAGGCTCGCTGACTTTGTTAATGCATGTCATCGTATCCCAATTGCGTGGATCGATGCTCATGATGTCAGTCACTGGATTGTCAGGTCTAGACTCGATTATTTACAGACCACCGTCATATAGCTGGAATATTGCTGAGTGCAGCGTTAAACAACAAACTAACAAACAAACAAAACTAGCGCAGCAAGTGTACATGTCTGAGGTCTTTAATAATCTTTCAGCTTGTATAACAAGTTGCAACGGCTTGTCGACAACTGACGGCAAACGCTACCCCGACTGCAGCGACTGCGCCTACTACATCCGATGTGAACCTAGCGGCTTGCAGAGGAAGATGTGTCCCACCTCGCTCGCCTTCAACTCAGTAGCAGGCAACTGCGACCATCCGGCGAATGCTGTTTGTGGGTATGTATATGCAGGTAGTGTCTTTGAAGATCACTTCTCACCTTTTAATGATAAGACCGCCTCCGTGGTCTAGTGGTAGAGCGTCCGCCCGGAGAGCGGAAGGTCCGTGGTTCAATCCCCTGCCCGTCATACCAAAAGACGTTAAAAATGGTACTTGTTGTTACCCTGTCTGGCGCTCGGCATTAAAGTCTAAAACAAGGACTGGTCGGCTCGGAGTCAGTATACTGTGTCTGAGTGGGGTATTCATGTTAAACTGCGGCATGGTATCTCAATAAGCTAGCACTATAAATCGGCATCAGTCCGGACTAGTACAAGCAGCCACACAAACACACACACGTACATGCAATTCTACAGAACTTAAAGTGCGTGAGTTTGGTTAAACGCCGCTTTTAACAGTATTCCAGTTATATCACGGCGTGTCAGCTTAATGTGGAGGAAGGCCCGAAGTGATGCAGGTCTCAGACGTTAACCACTTTGGTGAAACCCACGAGCACGGGTATGGTGCTGACAAACCTAGAAACATAATCGGGGCGAACCGGGATTCGAACCCACAATCATAGGTTTGTGGCGTGCCCAAGGGACGCAACTCTGCACAGAACTTGAAGCCTACAACATGTAGCTTACATGTACAAATGCACTTTCTGAAATAGGTCCCTTTATTACAAATATCTACAATAAATGGATTTATATATTCCTGGGTCCAGATCCGCAAAGCGTTCGTAGCGTAACGAGCTGTGTTTACGAATATCGTATTGTTACGAACGCTTTGAGTATCGGGCCAGTTTTCTTCAAATGATCACTGAACTACCCTGAATAGTAGATTCACTCCGGCGTAGGCAATGACTGGTTAGAACTCCTGTCTAGGAACCCAATACCTATATTCGCTGTGTTTTGTTTGTTTGTTGTTTAACGCCGCACTCAGCAATGTTCCAGCAAAACGGCGGCGGTCTGTAAATAATCGAGTCTGGTCCAGACAGTCCAGTGATTGACATCATGAGCATCGATCCCGCAATTGGGATACGATGACATGCATCAACCAAGTCAGCGAGCCTGACCACCCGATCCCGTTAGTCGCTTCTTGTTTTATGATATCCATCACTGGATTGTTTGGTCCACAATCGATTATTTACCGACCGCCGTCATATAGCTGGAATATATAAACGTAGGCCATAAGTGAAGTGAAGACCATTACTAATGTCCTGCATTCATTACTCTTCACCCTTTTTTTTTGAAGGACCACAACGACAACTACAACATCAACGACAACTACAACATCGACGACAACAACTACAACATCTACGACAACGACTTCGGGTAATGCTTCGAATTTGTTTCAACTTCAATCTTACCTTGAAAGGTTTGTTTGTTTGTTTGCTTGTTTGTTGTTTAAGGCCTCATTCAGCTGTAAGATGGCGGTCTGTAAATAATCGAGTTTGGACCCGACAATCCAGTGATTGACTTCATGCGCATCGATATACGCAATTGGGTTGCAATGGCATACATCAACCAAGTCAGAGAGCCTGACCACCCGATCCCGTTAGTCGCCTCTTTTGACAAGCAGAGTCGCCTCAGACGGCAAGCACGGGTTGCTGAAGACCTATTCTAACCCGGATGTTCCGGGGTGTTTTTAGAAGTAATATATTTTCTTAGTGAAATGCCACCCTTGGCCGTTTGTTTTGTTTGTGTGTCGTCCTATCCCGCAACTATGACATCTGTTGATACTTTTAACCCTGGATTTGCCAAGCGTATATTTGTTTGTTTTTTCAGATCGCAAAGATGTTGCAGTATTTTACTGCTGAGTGAGATAAATCGCCATTTCATGTTGTAGGTCCATTCTGTGTGTCTTCGTGTTTGGGACGTCCTGTTGGCAACGAACGTTACCCCCACTGCACGAGCTGCAGCAAGTATGTCCAGTGTCTTGCGACGGGGATAAAAGTGACGACATGCCCGTCAGGTTTGCACCACAACGATGCCAAAGACGACTGTGACACAGTCTCTAACGCCGCTTGCACGTGAGTCACATGGTGCACATAGTGAGTATTATTTTACGCCGCTTTTAGCAGTATTCCAGCAGTATAACGGCGGGGGACACCGGAAATGGGCCTCAAACAATGTAACCATGTGTGGAATTAAACCTGCGTCTTCAGCGTGACGAGCGAACGCTTTAACCACAAGGCTACCCCACCGCCCCAGTGTGTCACAACAAAAGAAATATAGGAGTCGGTGTTATAACTTATACCAGGTGGTTTTATGGTTGGAAGGTTGTTGTTTTACGCCGCACTCAGCAATATTCCAGCTATATGACGGCGGTCTGTAAATAATCGAGTATGGACCAGACAATCCTGTGATTGATGTAATGAGCATCGATCCACGCAATTAGGATACGATGACATGCATCAACCAAGTCAGCGAGCCTGACCACCCGATCCCGTTAGTCGCCTCTTACGACAAGCATAGTAGCCTTTTACGGCAAGCATGGGTTGCTGAAGACCTATTCTACCCAGGATCTTCACGGGTCATGTGGCTTGATGGATGGGTGGTCAGTTTGTAAATGTTCGAATGACAAAACTATGAATAGGTTAGGGTTCAGAGGACAATCAAACAAGCAGGTTACAGAGCCTAATCGTCCAATCCATTTAGTCGCCGACCGCCTCCGTGGTCTAGTGGTAGAGCGTCCGCCCGGAGAGCGGAAGGTCCTGGGTTCGATCCCTGGCCGCGTCATACCAAAAGACGTCAAACGATGGTACTTGTTACCCTGTCTGGCTCTCGGTATTAAGGGGCTAAAACAAGGACTTGTCGGCTCGGAGTCAGTATACTGTGTCTGAGTGGGGTATTCATGTTAAACTGCGGCATGGTATCTTAGTCAGCTAGCACTATAAATCAGTATCAGTCCGGACTAGTACAAGCAGGCACACACACACACGTGCATGCACGGCGCTCTAAAAGATTCAATAATCTTGGACGCGACGTGAAACCCAATTTCACCTCACCTCATTTTGTCGATAACCATAAATCTCACCTGGGCCTACTTGCACAAAGCGATCTTAGCGCTAAGACTATCATAAGCCTATGTTAAAGTATGGGAGTTACGATCATCTTAGCACTAAGATCGCTTTGTGCAAGTGGGCGCAGCAATCACCACAAAGGATCAGTATTTCTAAAAGCGAATAGAATGGTCTTCTAGCGTAAGATCTCTCTCTCAACACAACTGAATCCTCGTGGACATTCCAGCTTAGATCAGGGCCCACTTGCACAAAGCGATCTTAGCGCTAAGATGATCTTAACTCCCATACTTCAACATAGGCTTAGCGCTAAGATCGTTTTGTGCAAGTGGGCCCTGGTCTACAGCAACCTGTGTCTGTCTCACGAGACTAATCCACAAATATCCTCCGGGTATACACAGACGAGGTTCTAAAATGTTCATGGACAAACCTATAAAGAATAAAGAATTTGCATTTCAGAATTGACTTTCACTTTGTGTGAGTTCATCGGAGTGTGAGCCTTCATTAAGTGAGGGGGAACTGTATGAAAGTCGGCGCTTGCGAGCTCAAGGAATTGTGGATGAAAACCAGGGATAAAATAATGTTAAAACAAATTCGAAAAACATTTTCCTCCTTTGCAACAAAGGTCAACAAGGAGTCAAAACATGACATTGTACTGTTTGATTGTTGTTTAATGCCGCACTCAGCAATATTCCAGCTATATGACGGTTGTCTGTAAATATTCGAGTCTGGACCCGACAATCCAGTGAGTGATATCATGATCATCGATCTACGCAAATGGGATACGATGACATGCATCAATCAAGTCAGCGAGTCTAACCACACGATCCCGTTAGTCGTCTCTTACGGCAAGCACAGTCGCCTCTTATGACAGAAACTATACTGACTTCAAAGGACAAACAGATTTGGTAAATACAGGAAATACATGAATAATTTTAGCTATGAAGTTATCGCTCACATACTATTCAAAAGAGGTTACAGAACACCCGATTCTTTCATAACACTGTAATTGATATGTCATGTTATGACGCGTGAATAACAGCAATATGAGGTGAGGTGAGGTGAAATGGGGTTTAACGTCGCATCCAAGATTATTGCACTTATATAGCGACGTGCATGTACGTGTTTGTGTTTGTGTGGCTGCTTGTACTAGTCCGGACTGATGCCGATTTATAGTGCTAGCTCACTGAGATACCATGCCGCAGTTTAACATGAATACCCCACTCAGACACAGTATACTGACTCCGAGCCGACCAGTCCTTGTTTTAGACCCTTAATGCCGAGCGCCAGACAGGGTTACACCAAGTACCATCTTTTAACGTCTTTTGGTATGACGCGGTCGGGGATCGAACCCCGGACCTTCCGCTCTCCGGGCGGACGCTCTACCACTAGACCACGGAGGCGGTTACAGCAATATGAAAGAAGCGGGTGTGAAAAAGACTATAATTACAAAATCAAGTTTTGTTGCAGAATAACCTCGCCTACAACTGCTGCAACATCAGCGACAACAAAACCAGGTTTGTACTGCTAACACGAAAACTCTACCTTAGCTATATACCTGTCTGGCGCGTGTTACCGGTAGGCTCGATATGCTTTTCCTTTTCGCGAACACCTGGTGTCATCACTGATTTTCAGGGGTCAATTCATAAAATGTTTACCGCTATTTTGCCTTATACGCCAAATGCAAATTGTTTCGGCTGATAACCGTGACTGTTTGTTTATATATTTCATATTCGCGAACACCTGGTGTCATCACTGATTTTCAGGGATCAATTCATAAAATGTTTACCGCTATTTTGCCTTATACGCCAAATGGAATCTGTTTCAGCTGATAATCGTGACTGTTTGTTTATATATTTAGCAAATACTCACTGATATTTGCTACTTGTGAATGGACGAAATATGCAGGAATAACTTTTGGGTGTAATGAAAGACTTGACACGTTATCGCTGTGCAGAGTTGCGTCCCTTGGGCACGCCAGAAACCTATGATTGTGGTTCGAATCCCGGTTCGCCCCGATTATGTTTCTAGGTTTGTCTGCACCATACCCGTGCTCGTGGGTTTCACCGAAGTGGTAAACGTCTGAGACCTGCATCACTTCGGGCTTTCCTCCTGCATTAAGCTGACACGCCGTGATATAACTGGAATACTGTTAAAAGCGGCGTTAAACTCACTCACTCACTCATTTAACACGTTATGCTTAAGTGTAGGTACTCGCATACGTTTTTTACATCACTGTCATATTTAGTCCAAGCGAAGCATGCTCCCTTATACAAAGTGTCTTCTTAGCCACGTGTAAACCATCGGTTAAAAAAACATGAGGATATCATGTTCACATTTTACTCCAACAGCACTAGCGACTTCATCGACATTTTGTTTAAAATCCTGTGTCGGTATGATGGTCAGCAACGAGCGCTACCCCTACTGCAGCGACTGCACCAAATACATTCAATGTCTGTCCACTGGAGAAAAGGTTACAACGTGTCCAGCCGGGCTCCACCACAACGACATCATCGACGACTGTGATCAACCAAGCACAGCCAATTGCCAGTAAGTGATTGGTTGCCCCCTATAAAAGAACAAACGAAAAAACAAAAATCTCGTCCTTAATCCTGTTTCAAATCCTATTTGTTTAATGTTTTAAGACTTTTTTTTGTGTTCTCCGTCCTTATATGGTTGCCATAGCACTGCACTGTGTGCGTTTATTGTTTAATGCCGCACTGCGCACAATCCCATAAGTATGATCACGGTATGTCAAAAATGAAGTCTGGACCAGACAATCCAGTGTTTGATATTCTGTGCACGTAGTCACAAAGCCCGACCACATGGGTGCCGTTGTAGAAAACAACCTTAACACTTCGCCGGTCGTAAGTCTATGCTAAGGTATTGGAGTTACTATCACCTTAGCACTAAGACCGCTTTGTTCAACAGCCCCCTGATGCATTAAGTCGCCACTAAGACCAGCAAAGGCTACTAAGGACCAATTTAAACCGGACTCCCCCAAACGTGCCCAATATGGTTTTTTATGGAGTATGGTTTTTACGCCGCTTTTAGCAATATTCCAGCAATATCACGGCGGGGGACACCAGAAATGGGCTTCACACATTGTACCATGTCGGGAATCGAACCCGGGTCTTCGGCGTGACGAGCGAACGCTTTAACCACTAGGCTACCCGACCGCCCCCTTGCCACAAGCAATGGTGTGCTTGAGAAACATGGGCCTGTATGGGCCAATAATATTACTAAGTCAGGTGCACTTCAGGCTTATAGTGTAACATGCACTCTGACATTGTTAGAGTATTGGAGTGAGTTTGTTTGTTTTTTGTTTTTAACGCCGCACTCAGCAATATTCTAGCTGTATGACGGCCATAAATAATTGCGTCTGGACCAAAAAATCCAGTAATTGACATCATGAGCATCGATCCACGCAATTGGGATACGATAACATGCATCAATCAAGTCGGTAAGTCTGACCACCCGATCCCATTAGTTGCCTCTTACGGCATGCATGGTTGCTGAAGACCTATTCTCCACCCAGATCTTCACGGGTCTATTGGAGTGAGGCAACAACGGCACACAAATACTGACATTCAATGCGTCCGTCACCTTCAATCAAAGAATCTACTTTAATCTCCCCTTACTTCAAAGGTCGGACTCAGCAGGCACTTCCGGTACTTCCGGCGCAACCGGAAACTGCGTGGCCACCTGTAGCAACATTGCCGACGGCAACTACCAGGACTGCACCGACTGCTACAAGTACGTTGCCTGCTCTGGAGGGCTCATGTACCTGATGGACTGTGCTGCCACTCTTGTGTGGGACGACTCCATGAAACGGTGTGAAGGCACGTCCTCTACCTGCACCGCCATTGGTTAATCATTACCATTTCAGATCGTGCATGTAGTGCTACATCTGTGAGAAACTGCTTTTGTATGTGAAATGTTTGAGTAGATGGTCTACCAAATAAAATTCACGCGTTTGTTAGCCCCGACCATACATGGGATGAGAGTTACCTCCCTTTCTAAATTGTTCAAGCCTTATAGTAATGAGTGAGTGAGTGAGTTTGATTTTACGCCGCTTTTAGCAATATTCCAGCAATATCACAGCGGGGGACACCAGAAATGGGTTTCACGCACTGTACCCACCTGATACTAATGCATGCGTACCACTACACGTGACACGGTATTGACCGAAGCTGCCATCTGTTATGATCTGGTTTCCTAAAGTAACATGCGTGCCTCAAGTTTGAAAACTTTAACGTGGATTCCTAGTTTGTACATCGCAATTTCGATTCATATCTCAATGAGTGAGTGAGTGAGTTTGGTTTAACGCCGCTTTTAACAGTATTACAGTTATATCACGGCGTGTCAGCTTAATGTGGGAGGAAAGCCCGAAGTGATGCAGGTCTCAGACGTTTACCACTTCGGTGAAACCCACGAGGCCGGGTATGGTGCTGACAAACCTAGAAACATAATCGGGGCGAACCGGGATTCGAACCCACAATCATAGGTTTCTGGCGTGCCCAAGGGACGCAAATCTGCACAGCGAATCGCGGCGCCATAGACGACTTGGCCACCCGTGCCCCCCCCCCCCCCCCCCCCCCCCCCCCCCCCCCCATATCTCAATGAACTGGATAAACTACATAGTCGAACCTTCAATGCAATCATATGAGTATGCAACACATAGCTTGCAATGTCCAACTCCTGAGCAGAACCGACGAGCTACAGATACTATTTATCGACGCCATGTTACTATTCTAGAGAGGGGCGTTTGGGTAGCCTAGTGGTTAATGTGTTAACTCGTCACGCTGAAGACTCGGGTTCGATTCCCATCATGGGTACAATGTGTGAAGCCCATTTCTGGTGTCCCCCGCCTTGATAATGCTTGAATATTGCTAAAAGCGGCGTAAAACCATATTCATTCACACACTGGAGACCGTGAAGATCTGGGTTAGAATAGGTCTTCAGCAACCCATACTTACCGTAAAAGGTGACAATGCTTGTCGTAAGAGCCAACAAACGGGTGGTCAGGCTCGCTGACTTGGTTGATGCATGTCATCATATCCCAATTGCGTGGATCGATGCTCATGGTGTAAATCACTGGATTGTCTGGTCCAGGCTCGATTGTTTACAGCCCGCCGCCATGTAGGTGGAATATTGCTAAGTGCGGTGTTAAACAACAAACAAACAAACAGACAAACAAACAAAAAACATGCTTAAATCGAATTCGCCTACGTTTGTGTTGAACGTTATGGTTTTTTTTATCTTATCCAGTTTTCATTATTATCATCGCCTTGATGATCCGGGGGACACGGGTGGCCCAGTCGTCTAAGGCGCCGCGATTCGCTGTGCAGAGTTGCGTCCCTTGGGCACGCCAGAAACCTATGGTTATGGGTTCGAATCCCGGTTCACCCCGATTATGTTTCTAGGTTTGTCAGCACCATACCCGTGCTCGTGGGTTTCACCGAAGTGGTAAACGTCTGAGACCTGCATCACTTCGGGCTTTTCTCCCACATTAAGCTGACACGCCGTGATATAACTGGAATACTGTTAAAAGCGGCGTTAAACCATACTCACTCACACTCACTCACATGATGATCCACAGATGTTTCGGAATCTGTTTGTGTAGGGTCACAACAGCTGTAAGCAGTAAATCGGATGACGTCACTCATGACCGCTGTGATATATTATTGCGCTACTGCGATCATGAGAATAGACACAATATGCAACTATTCCATGCTAAAATAGTGCGATATTTGTGTGTATAAGAACAGATTACTAAACACATGCCTGTAAGATAATATTTATCTCACATCTCGTTGTTTCAAAGCTATACGTTTTGAAACAACCCGTTGTAAGATAAATGGCATCTGACTGACACTCGTGTATGAATCTCGATAGTTACAAATAAAAGAATTAAAACATTAATGATCCGTCCGCCAACTATGTACAATAGTGATAAACTACTGTTCCATCAGATGCATAACAATTGCTGGCTGCACAATGTAATGTGATACAGTGAGTGAGTTGGGTTTAACGCCGCTTTTAACAGTATTCCAGTTATATCGATATCGCGGCGTGTCAGCTTAATGTGGGAGGAAAGCCCGAAGTGATGCAGGTAACAGACATTTACCACTTCGGTGAAACCCACGAGCACGGGTATGGTGCTGACAAACCTAGAAACATAGTCGGGTCGAACCGGGATTCGAACTCACAATCATAGGTTTCTGGCGTGCCTAAGGGACGCAACTCTGCAGAGCGAATCGCGGCACCTTAGACTGGGCCACCCGTGCCCCCTCAAAATGTATGATACCTGTTCTCCTCAGGAATCAAACCCAACACTACTATAAGTCCTTATCATGGGACCTGTGCTTTGTTGTATATGGCAGACTGCACGATTATCTGGCATGTTTAAAAGCAAGGGGCCCCACGTAGAGATTCTGAGTTACAGGGTAAACTATGCCCGTCAGTGGCGACCGATGGGGTGGGTTGTTGTTCATAATATCAATCACTGGATTTTCGGGTCAGATCATGTTCGTTACTGTCAACTGTTTTGTTTGTTATTTAGTGCCGCACTCAGCAATATTCAAGCTACATGATGGTGGTCTGTAAATTTTCGAGTCTAGACCAGACTATCAAGTGATTGACATCATGAGCATCGATCTAGGCAATTGGGATTCGATGACATGCATTAACCAATTGCAAGACAGCGAGCCTGACCACCCGATCACGTTAGTCGCTTCTTACGACAAGCACAGTAGCCTGTATCAGACCTCTAGATGATATGATTTTTTACATAAGCAGTATCTTGTGTGCAGGCTGCAACTTTATCCGAAGTCCGAAACCCTTGTCTTGTAAACTTTCTCGGGAACTAGAAAGATCAGCTTATACTAGTC